CGTCGCCGCCAACGCCCTCTCGCTCTTTGGTTACTTCCAGGCCCAGGCCATGCTTGGTCTTACTGGCGTGCCTCTGCCGCCCGTCGTCATGTCGTGGACCCAGGATTTCCAGTGGAGCATGGGCATCATTCGTCTCGAGTTCATGCAGGACATCTTTACCTGGTACCAGCGCGCCACTGGTGGTACCCCGGCTACCATCTTCGACTCGCTCACGACCGTTTCCGTGCAGGTTGAGAAGCGATCTCTGGACTTGATGGAAGCCGGCATGAGTCTCGCGAAGCGCTCTGTGGCCATGATGCCAAGAAGCATCGCTGAGCCTCTCGGGCAAGCCATGAAGCGGGATCTGATGCGTCGCGCCAACATTGAGACCAGCTCCGGCAGTTACATCGTCTACGGAATCCAGCGTGTGGCTTTCCGCGCAGGCATCGAGTCGACCAACGTTTTCATGACATGCCTGGCCTTCTTCTGCTTGATGGTCATTTTTGTCAGTCTTGCCGTGGCCGCTTTCAAGGGTGCCTGCGAGATGGCCGTCAAGAACAAGATGATGGAGAGCGACAAGTTCCTCGATTTCCGCAACGGCTGGCTCACGGTTCTCAAGGGCATCTTGTTCCGCCTTACTCTCATTGGGTTCCCGTCCATGGCCATCATGTGCTTGTGGGAGTTTACCCAGAGCGATTCGGCTGCCCTGATGGTGCTGGCTGTCTTCTTCCTGCTTGGAATGACGACCACTCTCTGCTGGGCCGCGTTCAAGGTGATTATGATTGCGCGCCGCTCCATCGTCATGCACAACAACCCGGCCTACATTCTCTTCTCGGACCCCCAGGCACTCAACAAGTGGGGCTTCCTCTATGTGCAGTTCCGGGCCTCTGCCTATTACTTCATCCTTCCCTATCTCGGTTACTTGGGACTCAAGGCCATGTTCATCGCCTTTGCGCAGCACTCGGGAACCGTTCAGGCAGTCGGCTTCCTTATTATTGAAGCCGGTGCTCTGATTGCCGCCAGTGTCTTGCGCCCATGGATGGACAAGAGCACAAACTCTTTCAACATTGCCATCTGCGCCATCAACTTTGTCAACTCGATCTTCTTGATGATCTTCACCGAGGTCTTCAACCAGCCGAGGCTCGTCACTGGTGTCGTGGGCGTTGTGTTGTGGATTGCCAATGCTTCCTTTGCGCTGGTTTTGTTGCTGATGCTCATTGTCACCACTGTCATTGTCATCTTCCGTGACAACCCGGATGGCCGCTACACCTACATGGCCGACGACCGAACCTCGTTTATGAAGTCGCAGACGCACCTCACGACGACCACAGAGCTGGACGCGCTCGCGGCTACCGCTCGTGGTGGCAAGGAGGGCTTCAACAAGGGCATGGACCTGGACGATGATGCCGAATCTATTACATCGGACTCACTCCGGCGCCAGACCGAAAGGCTCGGTGTGCCCTCTGCTCAGTCCAACCAGAATTTTGGCGTTCACTCCAACAACAGCTTTGGCGCTCATTCCAACCAGAGTTTCGGCGCTCACTCGAACAACAGCTACAACAACCAGGGCTACGGCAACCGTCCCCAGTCTCCAGCCAACCCATCTATGCCCTTCTTCCCGGCCGATGGTCCTCGCAGTCCACCGAGGTACCAAGACAACGGCTCGATCCGGGCGCCCAGTCCATTTGATGGCGGCTCCCCGCCCTATCGAAACCAGAACAACAGCCCAGGTCCTGGCGCCTTCCGGCAACAAAACAACGCTAGGTATGTCTTGTCTGAACAGAAGAAAAGCGAGAAACTCTGCTAACTTTCCACAGCCCAAGTCCATGGCAGCGCGGTGCCGGCTACGACTAAGGCGGCCTTTTTTGCTTTTTGCACATTCATGACCTGGGATAGGAGTTTTTGTCTTTTTTAAAGGTTTCCCGACCGCCCTCCGAGCACGCGGTCGAACACACATCGATTTAGGGAGTGGGCGCAGCAGTCCAACTCCACACTGGACCCAAAGAAAAATGGAACAGATCCAAGATACCCTACTACTTCTCGACCAACTTGCCGTGTTGGATACACGAGCGCACTATCCGACCACACATGTCACTTTTCCCCAAGTTTTATTTTTCTACCAGGGATGCACAAAAAGGCGTCAGTTTACTCGGGGGGCAAATTAAACGGGGGAGGTGAAGAAGAAGAAGGGAAATGTATAATTTCTACTCCTTTTTATGTTCCATTTTTTTGGACAAGCAAGGCAGATGTTACTCTTGTGAGGGGTCTGTTTGTATCATATCTCCGCGTCATTACCTTACTGAGTTGATTGGCTATGCTGTTATTTGCATATGAGAGAGAGAGAGCTGAGACCTGTGTGCTGGTGTGTATATAGGAATGAGAAGGGCACAAGGGGGATCAAAAGGGGGCGGGGGGCACCGAATCATACAGCTGGGCTGGGGAGGAGGGGGTGGTGGTGGTGGTGGTGAGATGATGTCTTTTTTCTTTTTGTTATGGTTTGTGGTTTTTTTTTTCTTGTGGAATGGATTAGGGATGGGGTTTGGTTGGGTTAGTTCAATATATTCTTGACATTACTGTGTTGGTTTTTGCGATGCTCTGTGACGGGTGTTTGTATATCTTGTCACCATCAGCTGCCATCATCGGGGCGTGTCAGCTGTTGTCATCTTTTGAATCATCAACTTGACCTGATCTCTATATCAGCTGATTGCGGGTTTTTATATCTCACCATGTAACCTGCTGTTCAAGGAGGTAACACTTTACCAACCCAAATCAGGATTATGGAAGATGCTCCTTTTGACAATTATGGGTGGAAAGGCTAGGGTTAGGGTTCTCTGTATCAAAGATCTTCAAGCCCCACTTCAGCAACAGAGCTCACTCAGTTCAACGCTCATCTCAAACACCTTGATGACCCTCTCACGACTACCACCCGACTCACCTCCCCACCTACCTTACCTAGTCAAACTCAACTCTGTTATTCCCTTTTTTTTTTCTCAATTCATCCCCCCCTCTCACCCCACGCTGGAGGTATCACATCCAACGATCCAACACGGTTCAATGCCCATAAAGTAACCCACTTGCCCACCCACCAACAACGAAAAGGGCAACGAAAAAGGGCAACGAAAAGAACAACGAAAAGGGCAACGAAAAAGGGCAAGGAAGGGAAGAAGGGAAGGGAAACATGGCAGCAGCAGCAGGAAAACCCCCCCTCCACCACCTCCTCCCGAAAAACATGCTCACCTCCCCGTTCACGGGGGAGCTGCTCGCCCGGCGGTCGGTGTACGTCAAGGTGCGGCCTGCGCCGCGGAGCCTGACGCAGAGGAGGGCGGTGCTGGGGGTGCTGAGGCGGCATGGGAGGGTGGAGGTTTTTAGGGGGTTGGGGGTGAGTTTTTTTTTTCTCTTTTTTTTTTCCCATCCTTTTTTCTGGTTGTTTGGTTGTTTGGTTGGGTTGTTTTCTGGCTGGGTGATGATTTGGGGGGGGGGGGGGGTGGGTGGGGGTGATGATTTGAGGGGGTGTAACTGGATTGGGGTTTGCTCCAGAGGGTTTGGGGGGGGAGGTTGTCGGGGGGGTTGTAACTAGATTTCATTTTGCTCTGGAGGGTTGGGGGGGGGGGGAGGGGGGTTGTCTGTTTGTCAATGGATGCAATAAAGGGGACAGTGCTGATGATGATAATGATAGGAACCTCACTCCTTCATCTCGGTCACGGCCGACTCGGCCACGGCGCAGAATCTGATTTTGAAGGCGCCGCTGGAGCTTTCTTATGGAAAAGGGGAGGGGGGGGAGGGGGAGGGACAAGGGGAGAAGTTTCTGGTGGACATCTTTGAGGCTTCACGGTACAACCACAAGCGGTTTGCTTCTCATCTTTCACTGCTGGCTGGGCCGTGGGGTGAGGGGGATGTTACGGGTTATCCCGGGGATTTGAGGACTACCGCTCCGGTGCCGGGGTTGGCGGATCATCATGATGGAAAAGGGGAAGGGGAGGTGCATGAGGGGGAGGGGTTGGTGAAGAGTGGGATGAGGAGGTTTTTGGAGGGGGGGTATAGAGACGGGTGGGTTGATAATGGGTGGAGGGGGATGACGGATTGGGAGGGGGGTGGGCAGGGGGTGGAATATAAAGAGGATGGGGAGACGTTTGAGGGTGGGTGGAGGGCGGGGGTTTTGAGGGGGAGGTGGAAGGGGAGGGGGAAAGGCGGGTTGGTGATAGGGGAGGATAAGGGGGATAAGGGAGAGGGAGGTAAGGGGGGGAAGGTCAGGATTAGGAGGGTTGTTACTGGGGGTGAGGAGCAGGTGTTGGGGGAAGGGGAGGTAACGATGAAGGATGGTGGAAGCGGAGGGAAGGTGGGCGAGGAGAGGAGGTGGAGGGTGAAGGAGAGGACTGGGCTTATTATGGTGGAGAAGAGGTGGACGTGATGGTGTAGGCAGTGTATGATATGTGGGCGTTGGAGTTTGGAGTTCAAGTGTGTCAAATCCTTCTATTGCAAAGATACATGTGGAAACCTCTTGGAACTGTAAAGCGGGAATTTCAAGGGTTATCCGATTACTTGCCTGTGTCTTCTGCTTTCACATTAGCTTGGTGTTAATCCTGGATGTCCAACAGTTAGAGATTTTGTCTGGCGTTGCGGGACCTTTTGAGCTAGTTGGATGATGATACGAGGACAACCGACTCTTAATCTCTTATATCTCCAGCTGGGAAGAGCTTAAAGTCCAGAGCCAGATATCTCTATCAAACCCTTTACACTTTACTCATCCCCAACCACAGCTGTAGATCACACTCACCTGTTCAAGATCCCATCCACCTTCAATATTCCCATCCCCCCTTCCAATTTCATCGCTCAAAAAAGGCAACACCTCTCATTCTTACATCCTCCCACCATCACGAACCGGCCCCACACTTTAACTCAAGTCTACCTTACGGAGTAGGTGTGGAGCTCATACCGAGCCGAACCCAGCCACAGAGCCGAAAGTTCCACACCGATGATGAAAAAAGAGCAAAAAAAAAAACAAAAAAGAGCAAAAGAAACTTGGGGCCACCCGGGGATTGAACCCGGGACCTCTCGCAAGCTGAATACTCAGAAGAGTGTAACAAACTTTGTCAACATCAGGGTGTTACCCTAAGCGAGAATCATACCACTAGACCAGCGGCCCTTTTTTTGTTTCCGTGTTTGTTGTTGAAACGACCTAGTTGAGATGGGGGTTATGACTGCCAACCCACACCCAACAAACAGAATGCAATACCTTAGGGAGGAGGGGGTTGTGATGGGGGGATGTATAATTAGATCAGGATGGGAAAATTGAGATGGGGGAGAAATATATTTTGTGATAGGGTTGGGGATTTGTCTTTTTAAATCTGGAAAGGTGAATGTTTCTTGGACCAGGGCAAGGTGAAAGATGCTGGCTTTTTGATGCTTGTTTTGGCGGGGTGTTGTTGCCTGCGGTTTATTAGATATTGTTTTGGTCAATTTTTGGTGTGCTATGGGGGGGGGGGTTGTTTGTTGTGTGCAAATCCTCTTTTTCAGGGTGTTGAACGTCTTTACTGTTGGAGCGTTGCAACTCTTGACGAGGCGTCTGATGGAAGTTTGTTTGGATTGAGCCGGGCAATTCTATGTATCTTGTTGTACCTACTCTGTGGGAAGGTAATTGATGGTGCTGAGTGGTAGTCTCCCCGGTAGCTTGCGTGTTGGAAGAGATGGTCTTGTGTATTATAAATGTATCATTCTATAAGACGTTTGTGGTCTATACACCTTAGTAGGTTATACATCTAGGATGATGTTTATCTGCCCTGCTTAATCAGACCGGCTACTCAAGTCACCGGCTGTTAGAAGAAGATGGTTTGCGAACTTGTCTCATGTTTATTCCAGTCAAGCATATCAAGTAGCCCAGGGTTTGGCCAACCACGGGGAAGCACAAGGTAGGCGTAGCTGAAGAGCTTACGACTGATTTACGGCCCTGCGTTCCGTCATCATGAGTGTCCATCTCGACCATTTCTCCTTCAGTGTATATTTGCAGACTCACTTGGGCCCAAGTGTCAACATCTACCACTCAAATCCCCTTCCACATCGCCCGCCTCCTCCAACTATGTCCTCCCCCCCAAACCCAATCACATGCCCTCCCTCGAGAAAAGTTCCCCAAAGCCCCCCTCCTCTGTGCCGGTCTCCCGAGCAGGAAGCCATATATCGCATCATGTGTATGTATGCCCGATGGGGCACCCATGGGATCTTCCAAAAACAACAAAGGGGACCTATAGTTCCCCCTTTGTCTTTTTTCCTACACAGTTTCCCTCCTTACACTGTGTATCATCCCGCCATTGTGAAAATTTCTCACTGGACCATTCTCTTCGGGTACAATTAGGGAGGGTGTCAATTCTTTGTCTTTTTAGTTTTATTTTGTTGTTTTTTGTTGTTGTTGCAGGGGGGGGAGGGAGGGGGGTGTAGATCTGGCGGGAGGTAGGACTTTGGGGAAGGGAGCAAAAATATGGACTGGATTTTATCTAAGCTTTTGCTGTCCGTAATCTAAGCCTTTGGTTTCTGTGATCTGGATATTTAATGTCCGTTATCTGAGCTTTGGGTATTTTGATCCAAGTATTTGATGTCTGTGATCTGAGCCTTTGATGGCCTGTACACTATCTGAGCTTTCATCATGTTGTATACACTATATGATGTTTACTGGGGGAAAACAGTTGAGAAATAGCTGCAACTCACCGAACCAATTGGACCCGGTGATATGGTAAGTCCGCGTCGGCCGCCTTATGAGGCCCCCTCACTGAGGCCCAAGAAGCATCTCGAATGGTGAGTGGAAGACGTCGTGCATGATATGCAGCTGCTGGTTCGAGACATGGTCGGTCTTGAGGTGTCATTAAGCGCGGGGCCTCCCTCTGTCCCAACGGACGGCAGATGGGCGCAGATCGTCATCACGATTGGCAAAAAAGCAAACTGCTTTTGCTTTGACAGCACAGCGATGTGGGTTTTGATCAGCTGCGGGTTCTGTGGGGAACCAAGCGACATTTGGACCCCAAGATCCGGAGCCGAGGGAGGTGTGCTCCGGGAAGGTTTGAGACGGACTGGACACGATGCTTCGCCGCAGTGTAGGTCCTGCAAAAAATAGAAAATAGATTGAGACATACTGAATGAATAGGGCTGTGTTTGTTCGGCAGTGGCATCAGTCGATTCCCGCTCGCGTCGACGGCATGCAGATGGGATGCATAAAGAGGCAGCACAAGGTGGGTGTCCAAGGGCCGCACTGTGACGGTACACCGGCACCAGTGCCTGACGATCGGTTGGACAGGAGCTTGACTGAGCTTGGCTGCCTCGTCTGATGGCTTTGACACATGCAGTCCGGAATGGCTGTCACTCTGTCAAAAAGCAAGCAACGGATACCGAGAGGCAATATCGCCAAAGCAGTGCCGAAAGTGAGCAGAGCTTGGACCGGCTGCCCAAACCGCGGGGATTTGTTAGTGGAGCAGTTTCCCAGCTGAGAGAGCTCCCAGGGCCGGAAACCTGGAAGCGGCACGCCGTCTCAGCCCGCCGATTGGTGCGGTGGCCGGGCCAGGTGCCGAGAGAGAGTCCCGTGCGGCCCCCAGAACCAGAGAATGGCCCAAGGGTCTGGTTGCAAAGGTGTTCGATATTGAAACAATGCCGAGTGTTGGTGCGATGGGCGGTGAAATGCAAACATGTTTACCTGTTACTGTGGTATCTAGCTTTTATCACTTCATCATTCCCTAGTAGGTCAGAATGAGGCACGGGGGACGGTGTAATGTCCTGGCAGGCAATGTTGCATGAAACGGAACCCTTTGCCAGCGCGGTTTCCGAAGCAATTTGTCGTCACAGATGCACTAACAAAGATAAGGAAAAGGGCGCTGACACTTGTCTTACTCACGAGCTTGACCCTTGTGACCGTCTGCCCAGGGGCCCGGGAGGCTGGAATGGCACAGTGCACGCACCGTCTGGTTGCCAGGGATCAGGAATTGAGCTCTCCAACAGCAGTGCAACCCTCAGGGCCGGAGCAAACCCAACGGGCCGGCATCCTGCTCAACTGACGGCTGACACGCTCGAACCGGCAGCTGCTCCAGACCCGGCCCTTGGCTCCCAAGAGCCCAATTTCAACACTACCTGGAGCTAGTTTCCTACACTAGCAGTCCCAGCCGAACCCGAGAGAAGCTCATGCGTGCCCAGCAGACCGGTACGGAGCAGCAGAATCAATGGAGTCAATACCGATGATCAAGAGGAAAGAAGAAGAAGAAGAAGAAGAAAATGAAAAGGAAGAAGAGAAGGCGCAGCATCATTTCATGGCTCGGTGTGCAATTGAAAGTGGGCTAGTCTAGCTCAAATTTGACTGGACAGACGCCGCGCGCTTCCTCTTCATCACCCTCTCCGAGGGCTTGGGTCACCCGCACGTCTTCAGTTCAGGTCTCCAGACAGTGCGAGCTTCACCGAGCACAAAAGGTGGGCCGTAGACAGGCCGCCAACCAATCACCAAGCTCGAGGCAGCTAGCGTACCGCGGGCTTGTTCCTCATCGTCCCAGTTCATTGATTTCCAGCAACTGGGAAAACCGCTCGCCACCTGACACCAAGAGCATCCCAAGCCGACACCTTGCTCATCCCGGCCTAGGCTCTCTTTTGCGTGTTTGAGCAACTGATGAGACAAGACAGCTCCTTTTTCCTTTTCTGCATTCTCCTTCTTCGAGTCCTTTCTGATCCATCAGACATACAATACTACTCTACTCACTCCAACAGTAACGCGTCGTCGTGGTCTGCATGGTTGATTGATTGATTAATTGCAGCCGACATCATCCCATCGCATCTCCAATCCCGTCCACCGTCTGCTGCCAAGTCCCGAACGACAAGCTACGGCGGTTCAGCGTGGCCGCCACGGCGCTCAAGCCCGCGCAGGAATAGCGCAGGAAATAGGGAAAACGCCCATGCCCTCATAAAACTATCGGCCTCCCCCTTCCCCCCATAAATCCGTCCCAACGCTGTTTCCCGTATGCCGTCGCCCGTTCAGCTGGGTCGGCCAACAAGAACAGCGTCAAATCAGCCATGTACGGCCAATCCGTACACTGGCGCTCGACGCTCAACCACAACCATAACCCAGAGGACAAAGACACCCGAGACGAAGGCCGGGCGCCCCGACAGGACAATGAGCAACACCAAGAGGAGGAAGACCAGCAGGAGGATGTCGAATTTGCGAGTCGGATTGAAGAGTGGAGGAAACAACGGGCCCAACGCCAAAACAGAGATCATCAGCACAATGGACAGCGCCATCGGAGACACAGGGAGAAATCACGCCAACCCTCGTCGTCACCACAGCCGGCCGACTCGCCGTCGCCTGAACCGTCGTCTGGGAACGCATCACCTCCTGGACGATCAACCGTCGACAAGCTGGCTCGCAAGCTGAGCAAGCAAAACCTTCAATACACCAACCGCGCCCATGCACAGTCGTCGTCACTGCCAGCGACCCCTTCGCCATTGCAATCGGCGGCCCCTGTTGTGCCTGAGACGCCAGCCATCGTCCCAGAGACGTCAACCGTTGTCTTTCCTGCATATCTGGAAGTGGATCAACAATATCAGCAACCCACATCGCCTCAGCCCACGCACAGCAATAGCGCCCCCCAACCACCAGCCGCCTTGCTAGGCGCAACAGTTGAAAAGCCCGAGGACAAACGGCTCGATATCAAGATGCTGCGCAGACATGCCAGCGCGCGTGCACTAGAGGCTCGCCTGCAAGCCATGATTGACAATGAGACACAGTGCAATGTCCGCAGTGAGCCTCTGCCACCACCACCACCACCACCTGCAGCGACCATCACAAGGCCATGGCTGGCGCCGCCTGGTGTGGGCGAGCCTGCCTTCATCGAAGTCGACCCAGACTGTGCGATGCCAAACTGGGACGGCAGCTTGGAGGTGGACGAAAACCACACCGGCGACGTTTCGCTTGACGATTTGGCAGCATCTGCACGACACGCACATGCTCCCAGCGGTGTCAGAAAGCAATCGATTGGGGGTGTCACCCTGCGGTACCGGTTGTCCGTCGACGCGGCCCTTCGCTGCCAAAATGTGGTTAGAAACCGCCCTAGGATGCGCAAGAGGGACAAGTCGCGCCACGGAAGCACCATGTCCTCCGCCATGACGTCGGCCATCTCTTCACCCGTC